ACAGCAGCAGGCTGCACATCAAGATTCACCCTTGAGTAAGGACGCCTCTCAAGGTTACTCCTCAAGGTCAAGATTCCTTGCTACAACAGATTTTCAGTGATTAATAGCATGCTAAACTATGCAATTTAGCTAAGTGATATAAAGAATTGATTGCACATATATAATCCTTTAGACCTAAACTGCTGACCAAGTCTGGGACTAGGATTGGATCCAGCTGCACCTAGGCTCCTCTCTGAGAAGGAGTACTTTTGAGAGGAAGGGGGTCCTTTCTGAATCTCATGACTCAACAGGAAGGTCTCCCTTACAGTTTTGTCTGACCCTGTCCTCTATGCAGTAAATAATCAAGTGTACCTTGCCATCGAACCCTGTTAAATCAGTCACATTAACCTTTGAAATTTGTTAACTCACTCTTTTTATACCAATAAAATATATTGCTGCTTTTCTCTTGCAAGTGAAGTGCACAACTCACTCTGACTCCTTCCATGACACACGTTGCTAACAATCCAACAAGGGATCCTCCTTGGCTGCTGTGGTAATTACAGTAAGAGAAATGAATACAACCAGCCAACAGCAAACACAACGCAAATATGTTTGTAACTAAGAAATTTAGAAGCTTCAGAGTGTTAATAAGATGACAAATGTTTGGACAATGAAGCACCTGTTTTGTCTGAGCATGAGCTGTGAAGCAACACCAGGAAACTGCAAGTGATAGTAGTGAGTAAACCCCTGATGCAGGGGAAGGAGAACCTCATTTGCCAACCTGACCCTTCAACTAGGGAGGTTTGCTGCTTGCCTGGGCTTTTGATACAAGATGCTGTTGAGAGACAAGCGCAGCTTGTCCAACCCTTGGCCCTGCTACTCTTCCACATGGGCATCAGTGAAGTTGATGGGGAGACCTGGAACATATCAGGCATGACTGTGTGTCTTTGAGGGGCAATGATCAAGGGAATGGGGCAAAGGCGGTGGATGAGTGGATGGATTCTGCAAGTCAACAGCTGATTCTGCAGCTGATAGTGACAGCAAGGATTTAGTTCCTGTGACCATGCATGAGATGGTAGAGTTCAGGATTCTGAAATGAAGAAACAAGGCAAAAAGCTGTGTCACAACACCGGAATTCAGAAGAACAGACTTTGGCCAGCAAAGAGCCACAAGGATGAAGAAGAGACTGAAGGACCTGCCATATGGGGACAGACAGAGTTATGAGTGTTCAGCCTGGAGAAGAGAAGGCTCAGGGGGATTTTATCTGTGTATAAATATCTGATGGAAGGGAATAAAGGAGATGGAGTCAAACTCTTCTCAGCGATGCTCAGTGAGAGCTCAAAAGTCAAACTGAGATACAGGAAATTCTAGCTAGTCACAATAAAAAGAACCACAAACTTATCATGAGAGTGGCTGAACACTGTAAGAGTCTGCCCAGAGAGGGCTGTGGAGTCTCCATCTTTGGGGATATTCAAAAACCAATTGGACAGCAGTGTTGACACTAATTTGAGGAGGGGATTTGAAGAGAGCACTACATGATCTCTGGAGGTTCTTTCCAATGTCAGCCATTCTGTGATAATAAATATTGACTCACTTATTGGTCACCTGTCCACTCATCATCATTACATACTTTTATGGTATTTCCTAAAAGGGGGATTTGAAAGAAAACTTAAAGAAGAATGAGACAGTAGGTAAAAAACTTATCTGAGTTTCAAAGTATGACACACTGTTCATAAAGAAGCATGGCAAAAAAACCCCAAAGGTGCTAGGAGCTAAATATTTGTCATACACATTTCAAGCACTGAGATATGGGGCACCAGACAGAAAAGCATGCCTATTTCCATACAAATATGCAAAATAGATTACAAAGACATGTACATTCTGCATGTGCTTAAAATCATCTTGTATCATTGACCTTTATTGATAACACCATTCGTGAAGGGAGGTTATGAAGCTGTAAGTCTTGTGCAACGTATTTGTTTCATATTTGCAGCAGAGCTCAACTAAATAATATAAAAGTCAGTGTTATTCTATTAGAATGAAAGGTACCTGTATTGCTAGCAAATGCAAACTTACTAAATGTGTTAAATTATTCAGTGTATAGAGTTTTCTAATGCTTAATAAAGCAAGTAAAAAATTTGTAACCTACCTGAGCCATTATTGCCACTGTTATTTCAGTGTTTATTCTCTAATGCATATTTCCAAAGAACACAGGAGAACGGCCACTAAATAAATTGTGTTTACCAACATTTGAAACCTGCTGATCACCAAAAACTAAAGCTCCAACTGTGATGACAATAAAATACCATCCAACACTCTATATAAAAGCAGTTCATTCACTTCTCTTAAACTAACTCTAACTTGTTTGTTTGTTTTAATGGGAAAGACAAAAGAACCTGAATCAAAATATATTTATCCTTCTTACTGTGGTCTATAGCATTTCAGACATTTTCTAAGTAGAAATAGGTGTACCGCAAATGCTCTAGAAATACAGGCATAGTTAAATAACCCTTCATTGACAGCTACAGAATATCACTAACAATTTCTAAAGAAAAACAATCCAAAGCCATTAGGATCCGACAAAATTCTGTAGCAATAGTGCCTGGGTAAATTAAAAAAAATATTTAATAGTAGTTCACACTGCTCGTTTAGGAAAAAAAAAACGAACTGCTTGCAGAATTGACTAGTGCTAGAAGGACACTTGACATGAGAGTGAGGCATTTTACAGATCTTTAAGAACAAGGACTGACCTAGAAATAGAAAACAAGAAGCTGTAATTTAAAAATAAATATAGACCTGCTCTCCTCCCTCCCCCCAGAAATCCTTGAACAGGATCAGAGATGACAGAACTGGAAGGGAGAAGAAAAGATGACCCATGAAAGCTATTCCATTTCTATTAAAAAATGAGCAGTTCAACACTGAAGAGACCTTATCCTTCGTAGCAGGAGCTCAGGCTTCCACAGCAATCAAAATAATACAATAACAATGACAGTCACATGGTTTCACACAATATACAAGACTTATAGCTGGGAAAGTAGCCATGTTTTTTCTAGTAGCACCAATAAGGTCAGTTCTTAATTCCTGAATAACAGATGCTTCAGCTGGCTGGGGCCATCAAAATGGTAGAAAGCCACAAGTACAGAAAAGAACAGGACTGATTAATGGGTTTGGACCATCCTGGTTTTCAGAAGTACTTCCAACTATCTGAAGTAAAATGCCAATATATTATTAGGTCAGATGAATGCAGCAAAAAAAAAAAAAAAAAAAAAAAAAAAGCATATAAATATCAAGAACTCCAATGTTTTCTAGCTCTCTGCTCTCTCCAAATTTAAATGATATTGAAAGAAATTGGCAGCTCTTATTCTCTAAGTCATGCCAGCAGAATACATGCATTTGACATTTGCCAGCACTGCCTATTAAAGAGCTGCGTGGTTTAGGCATGAATAACATCAGAAACTGCATGAGTTTCCCCAGCTTTCCAGTGGAAGAACTGCTGGAAATGCAAGGCAAGGTCCTCAGCACATTTGTATCATCATTGATCACAACAATTTATCTACCCACCACATTTGGGGGGTTTTGGATATTTTGCTGCCTAGAGCACAATTTCATTAGATTGTATGACACAACATGTACCTGTTGTTTACTACTTATCTTTTAGAAAGAATAAGTTAAATGTCATTTCAATCAGGACGGCAAAAAACCTACTTTCCTGCTAAATTATCTATCTAATCATCAAATTAAAAGATATAATAACAATTAGAGAACAAATATATAAACATGCCATGTTCGGTTTTGTTTTTCAAGTCAAAGGAAATAAATGTCACAGCTAAATATTTCTTCCCATTTATTAAGTACTTGCTCAAGACATTCTTGGATTTTATGTTATCTTTTACTTCTGTATTCCTATCACCCTTACACAAGGAAATGGCATATATTCTGCTTTGGAGCCAAAAGAGAAAAAAGAGAGAACAGAGATTAAAAATAACATTAGAAATTAACTGCAAATTCTCATTTAAAGCAGTCAATAACTTTCTTATGATCCATTTAATGGAATATGTGCACACAGTAAATTACTTGCATAAATTACAACCAGATATCTCTTCAGTTTTCTTTTACAGCTACAGATCTCATGGCCTTGCTATAAAACATGATTGTGTATCATCTTTCAAATATTTTCTGTAAAGCAGACAAATTCAACAATATCTATTCTTTACCCAATATTCACTATGATTTAAGGAAAAAAACATTATTTAGATGGACTTAAGATGGACTATGCAAATCAATCCTACTGAAGTTTTAGACCTGAATTTAGAAAAGGAAAACACTGCAGAGCTTAAGTAAAAAATAACCAAAAGAGAGTATTTGTCTCATCAATACTCATACTTTGAAATATGCCTGGAATAAGTTTTGCTTAGAAGTTAAGGTTCCTCTAAGTAGTTAAATACAGGACACGATATTTTACCAACATAGGAAAATAACTTTTTAACTCACTTATTTTAATTCCATCTCAGAACACAGAATATGAGTTCAAGTTCAAATATTTAGTTAAAATAATTTAAAAATGCATATTACTTCAAAAATGGAGAGAGAAAATACCTGACAAATTAGTATATCTTCAGCAACTTATACTGTGAAATTTCATGGCCTATTAAACAAACCAGGAACCTATTCAAGACCAGTTAGCTTTTATAGGTGTTATAAAAGGTTACAGGTTTCATTGTTTCATTATTAAAGATCTAGAAGGCCCTGAAATCTTGTCTTCCTAAGAGACTCAAATCAACAAAGCTGTTTAAATTAATTAATTATACAGCTTGAAACAAACTGCTCAAATGCTTAGATAATTAGTTGAATCATGTTTGAAGTTTCAATGTATTCCATAGGTCTTACATGGTGGGAGCGGGCTGGGAAGAATGAGGGTAGATATGCAGAGAACAAGAAATTGCAGCTACAGATTACTAGACTGGTATATCAAAGCATGTAGTAATATTAACAGTATTAACAAAACCTAAATCTGGATAAATTATCATAGACTATTAGAATAATAACATCATGCTTAGGGACTTGCCTTAGTGGTGGACTTCGTAGTACTAGGTTGGACTCAATGACCGTAAAGGTCTTTCCCAACTTAAACAATTCTACGATTCTACACTATGCTCAGGACTAGAGAATCAGGCACTTAGACTTTTCCAATTGTAGGAAATAATTCTGATTATGATAAAAATAATTTATTCCAAAAGCCAATATGAACAATATTACTACACTAACTAACAGCACACATAGAATCCCTTTGTTTTGCATGGTGTATTATATCACCCAGTTGCATTCAGGTTTTATATCGTCTGCTCCTACAGCCCATGCACACATGCAACTCCCTGACAAGAAATCACATATGCATTGGTAAACCAGCGTTATTAATTCTGTCCTTTACCAAATACCTATCTACTATGTTTTAAAATACAGCAACAATTTTAAG